CTGAACAGTAGCAACAGTCTCCAATGCACCCCGTTTCCCTTAACACCACATTGTCAGCCGCAGGTTTGCATCAACGAGTACGAGCGTACCAGGCGCTTAAAGAACCAAAGCTCATCTGAAGGGTGCAAAGAAAACCGCAGCTAGCCTCTGTTCAATCTTCCAGCTAACTACAATGAAAGGATAAACTTGCTGAGTTTGCGAAACACACTTCACACTCTGCAGAAGGAAAAGTTCTCCCACAAATATGCCTTCTGGAGACACCATTATCCCAACCAAAACTCAAAGGAATCATTGAGAGGGAAGATTGGACAGAGGTCCAAATAGGATGGAATGGTTGCAGAGTAGATGGCTCCAATCTTGCGAAAGATCCTCATCCCAACTGGGAAACTAGTTTCACGGCTATTGGAGCTCCTCAGATCCTAAGTTCTTACCATCATATGTACCACCATGTTGTCCCCGGTTCAGGTGCAACACAAAAGCAACACATAAGCAACACCATTGAAGGCTTTCTCAATCACTGGTCCAGCAAAGTGAAAACACCTGGGGCAACCAAGTGAATGTCAGTGGCGGAAAATGCCAATTTTGCAGACCAAATGGTCCTAGTCGCCAAACCCATTTGACCCACTACGCATTTTGCGCGGGACATGTGGTGCATCCCTAAGTGATGCACGTGCACAAAGGTTGGGAAATCATCAAGTGCAAGACATTCTTGGAGAGGAGAAGCCCCCATTCTCACATAGACATGTCCGGTGGCAGCGGCTGGGAATGGATACGCAATGCTTAGGTTGTGATTTTGACTGGGCTGGGCATTCCATGTCCGATTCGCAATTCAAAACGACATCAAACATGATCATACCATACCGCCATTCCCTTCAACATTACATTGTCCGCCGCAGGTTTGCATCAACGAGTACGAGCGTACCAGGCTCTTAAAGAACTAAAGCTCATCTGAGGTTGCGACAAGTCTCTGACACAGAACCCCGGAGGGTGCAGAGACGACAGCTGATGAACACTGACAATGACTCTATGTTCTTCAGATTCTACCTCATGGACGAAAAGACACTGTTCACATGACACTGACAGAGCGGCGGCGTCTTCGCTTCCGGCGTCTTCCTTCGGCTTCGTGCGCCGTCCCGTTCCGCGCGTCCCGTTCCTCGCGTTGCTGTGATTCCGCCGTGGGTGTTTTCCACGGGTCAGCTTGGTTGGTTCAGGACGAAACGAAAAGCAGAGGGAAAGAGATCAATCTGAAAAGGTATGGAAAAGAATACTTTGCTTGTCTTACTGTCTTACTGTTTGTCTTACTTCTTTGTTCTTTAATTTGTTCTTTAAGAGCAGCATGGAAAAGGTCGTGAACCATCTGGATGTCCAAGCCTCTAAACAACCAAAAGTGGCTGACAAAAGGATCGACCCGCAGACAGGATCGTTTGGTCCAAACGACACCGTGGAAGACCTCGCGTTTTGACCGGAGCGTTGGATCGAGGAAATCGACCTGGGAGACCCGACAGACAACGACCGAAGAGGAATTCGAGGGGGTTAGTGCCAGGAAACCCACTACGACCGGTGGAGTATCACGTGGAGGTATCACTTGGGGTATCCACCAACCAAATCTCGATGCCTCTATGGTCCAAAAGCCAATCCATGGGGTACCATCGTATGAAGGCGGATGCAAAGAAATGTCACCGTCTGATTCCGGCCCCCCAGATGACGCATGGGTTCCATCCAGTCCGGGTCGCCGTGTTTCGTCGGGTCGGCGAACGGGTCGCTCCCAGGGACGGGCTCAACGGGGCCGAAGCGTCCACCCATCCCACGAAGACCCAGCCCGCGAAGACGGCGCCGCCTCGTCCGGAGACGGAAGCGTCATGGTGGCTCCGACCGGAGCTGTGACGGGGAGGCACCCCCACGACTCGGTGGGAACGACCGCGGTGGAACCAGTGTTGAAGGACTCGTTCACCAGCCACTCTTGGAACGACTCGTTCGGAGCACTGGCACCTTTGGATGTTTGGGATGATCTTAGGACCTGTGTACCGATCCGGTTGTCCCTATTGCCTCGAAGCATGGGGTGGGTTCAAGAAGGGTGGGTTGGTTCAGTTTGTTTGCCAAGCTTTGGTCAAAGAGGGTGTAGAAGAGGGTTTTTGTTAGCAAAACCACTGGAACTGTTGGCTCCATGTTCTTCGACCAGACAGCTTTAACAGCTTCTCGCGGCCGGAAGAGGCTTCCTCCGCCTCCGAAGCTTCGGATCGACCTAAGAACATGCGATGCCCCTAGACTTCCAACCACTATATACTAAATTAATAGGCTTTACCGAACCAACTAAGGATTTTGCGCTAAAAAAAACAGCTCAACCATGTTTTTAATGGTCTTGGAAGTCTAGGGATGCCCTTGTTGTCAGTTCGTCATGCCAGTTAGTCTTTGGTTCGTTGCGTTTCTTCTGGCTCCGTTCGCAGGGAAAATGCCCCCCCCCCTTGGGTGACGAAAAGACCATGGACCGGTGACCGGGGAGGAGAGCCCAAACCCGTCGGGGAGAGACGGTCTTTCGGTGATCTCCGGGCGGAAAGGGGTTTCTCGTCCCAAAACGGAGGCTCCCTCAAGGGTCCGATTTGGATGTGGCGTGGCAGCGGTGGGCAGCGCGGGGATGGATGTGGAGGTGTGAAAGGGCGTTTTTAGCTGACTCAATTGCAAACAACACTGTGAATCTCTGATTTGCATGAGGAGGAAGGAGGAGCAGGAAGAAGAAGCTAGGGTAGTTCACCCGCATCTTTGCTTGACTGCCTATATATATATATATATATCTTTAAATGCTATGAGTTCACGGGGATTCAGCTTCGATGTTGTAACCCCGCTCACGGGCTTTGGTCAGAGTCACTGGGTCGTGTCCGGGTCATGGGCCCGGAAAAACATCCATGTCAATTGCCTTCCTTAGTGGTTACCCCACTGAGGATGCCAACGGATCACTCGGTGGATGGACAGCGACAGCGGGTCGTTCGTTCGCGCCGGACCGGGAGGAGCGAACACGCGAGCGCGGGCGAGCGTTCCTGTTGGACCGTTTTCGGAGGGAGGAAGGAGGAAGCAAAACAGGTGAAGGACCCCACCTCATGTCATAGAGCAAAGGACCACAGAGCATGAAAACAGCGTGTTCCACCAGTGACAGCGAGGAACCACGAGTCTGCATCAGGTGGGCGAGTGACCACTGCATCTGTCTGGTTCAACCGTTCGCCCCAATTGGTTTGGGCTGGGCAGGAAACTCGGGATTTGAGTGTGTTCACACAAAGAACCTGGCGGCATAGTTAACGACCATAGGAACACCACCAAGTTACCTTTTAGGTTCAGAATCGTTCAGAGCTTCTTTGGTGCGAAGGCTGTGACGAACTCGAGAGTCTGAAAGAGTTTGAACTAAGCGGCTCCAATTGTTTTCATCAAGGCCCAAGAACAACCGTCTCCCATGGGCGACCGATGTTCCTTCCCTCAGAACCGATGTTCCTTGCTCTTTGAGATGAAGTTCCTCCAGATCGCGGTTCGCCCGCACCGACATGGCGACGACGGCGGAAGAACGTCGCCTTCGCCTAAGGAGTCCGGGCGAGCGAAGGTCATCCCTGGTCTCCACTGGCCTCCACCCTACAAGCGATGGCCTCCACCCTAGTTGCTTCATGTTGCTTCTTCGTTCATGTCATGATCGGCATGAACTCGTCCATCTCCGACTCGTGTGCAGGTCTATGTGCGCACCCTTCCACAAGTTCCACAAGCCCAGAAAGCTGGAGTTGTTGACACACCCTTCCACAAGCCTTTTGGTGCTTCCAGCCGATGTCCAGCCCCTTTTTTAGGATGAAAGCATGCAGTGTGCCAGAGGGTCGAACACTGGTGAAAGGCCACGCTGGATGTCCAAACCCCTCCACAGATATAGCCCAGGCTCAGCGCGCAAAAGGCGCATGCACGTTCTAAAAGAATGGGGTGGGTCTGCGCTGAGCCTGGGGGGGTGCTTTGGGCCTTAACCTGATTCCAGATCTGCGGCTGGAGACAGCTTCCAGAAGCTTCCAAGTGCAGTGGGCAAGCCAGGTCTGTCAAAGGCTGGGAAACATCAAAGAACAGAAGAACCAAGGTGTAAGGCTATTCACACAGCTGCTTGACTGATCACTGACCAAATTTGAAGCTACTTGTTTGTATAGCTAGCAGATTTAAAGATCCAGACGTACTCAACATCTCCAAACAGCTAGTGAGTAGTAATTTATTGCGTGACTTGCATGACCTGATGGCTGCGCTCCGACACGCAGATCAAATGTGACTCCGTCATAGGAGTATTTGTGTCATCATTATACATTGATATACCATAATATATATATACATATTAATAGAGAATAGCAAAGAAGCTCGTATACCGTATATATAATATACTACCGTTCTGCTGTTATATATGGCATTATCTGTATGCTTGTATGTGTATGTATATATATATATATACGCTGGCAGCCTGGGTGAAGTAGTTCTTCAACATCTGCAGGTCCTTCATTCACGTTCAGCCTCTGAAGATCGAAGTTCTTGCGCGGATCCGGCAAGGTGGGCCTGGTGGTCTGCTCTGGTCTGCTCTGGTAGATGGTCCTCCACTGCTTTCCAGAAACCAACACCGGAACATGTCCTCATGTTCTCTTGACTTCATGTCCTCTTCATGCCTATGCAATTCACCTGTGACTTTCCCCGCGAGATTGGTTAGGAGCTGGAAGGTTCATGGCATGCAATGGCCACAATGTCAGAAAAATGTGCTGAACATCTATCAGAAATTCATGACAAAGAAGTGCAACCGTCGTGGCAGATATCGTACCCGGTATGAGCCTTTTTGGTCCAATTCCATGAAACCTATATTTCACAAGCTCTTTGGTCATTTCACCTGACTATGCGTCCTTGTTACGTTCGTAGCTTTGTGCTCGTTCGTAGCGATGCCGCTTTCAGATATTTCAGGGTGCCGAGTCTTAGACGGCCCCGAAACCCATCGAACCTCCACTGCTCCAGTGTCACCACTCGGGAAGGCCGAGGGCCTCGGGGGCGATGGCCTTACCACATCGGTTCCGTGGTTCCAAACCGCGCCTGGCGCCCATCCGTCCATTCGGTCGACAGCCCACAGTAACGATCCAGTTATGTAGATCCAGCTTGCAACGAGGTACTCTCCGAGTCATTACCCATGGAACGGGAAAACCACCCTGATTTGTAGATCAAAAAGGGGCATCAAAAGGGGAGTGTATCATTTGTGCGCCACTTTGAAGTCCGAAGTCTCTATGGCACCTCTGGTCCATGAAGTGTTCGCATCTCTAGGTGCGGTGCATCCTCCTCACCCCAGTCCTGTCATCCTGAGCCCCGGAGGGCAGACGTGAAAAGAAAACCCAGCAAGGTACAGGTACAGTACGTGTTCTGCAAATCTGAAGTGGACTTCAAACCACTTGCTGCCCTTGCTCCGAAGCTCTTCACATCAGAAGGTGTCCTGGTAGGTTGGTAGGTGACTGAAACTGTCGCAGAAACTGTCGCTGTTCCAGTCACCTGCTCTCTGGATTCTGGATCCAAATGGGTCCAGCGAACCCCTAGCATCCCAGACTGGAGCCCAAAATCACATCTCGCATCTCAAAGATAATAAATCTTCTCAAACATCCCAAAATCACATCCTTGATACTGTTGTAAGCTTGTTCAGCTTGGCATCAAGGGTTCTCAAAGTTGTCACAATTCAGACATGTTGCTCGCAGTTGTGGGAGGATTCGGGAGGATGCACTTGATGATGGTCAGGGGAGATGACGATCTCAGGACGATGTAGAGCTAGGAGCTCTGTGCTCCATTAAACATATCAACACAAGCTATCCAAGCACCATGTCCTGCCAGTCCTCCATGTGTCCAGCTGTGTCCAGGTACTTGGTTCCTGTGTGCACCTCGTCGTCCGCCTGTGCACCTCGTTGCCAGTGGTCGACCCAGCGTCCGTTCTGCGCGCCGTCCGGTCGTCCCCGAATGGTCATGATGCTGTCCTGACATTTGATCTGAGAAGTACGGGACTGAACATGTAAACCTCAACAGGTCTCTCCACATCAGGACTGAATCCCTTTTGATGCTGAAGCATCTCCACACGCCCAACCCTGTTGGCCTCCACACCTCGGTGTTAGAAGATATGCCCTCCACGATAGCCCACAAGCAGATTTGAACTCCAAATCCCTGATAGATACGCTGTCCTGCCCCTGAAGTTTCTTCACTACTCCCCACACTGGGCCCCGGAGGGCAGGGAGACAAAAAACAACCACAACATGCATGAATGTTTCAGAGGTTCATAAGCATCAGTCCTGCGATCCTCGATGATCTTGGTGCGCTACAAATCTCAAGTACAATTCACGATGCGGCTCTTGCTTTACGCCTCCTGGAATGACCGTGTGCCAAAGAGCGTGCGCTCTCATGCCCGATGATGCTCTCATAAGGAGGATCTTTGGTAGTCCAGCGTCCAACATCCCCCAAAAAAAACAAAAGACATTGTGACATAAGGCAAAAAGAAACCTCATATATTCTCACATCACCTCCTTTGGCGCCATGTCGCGGCAGCTGGTTGCCCGGTTAGCACCGACGGCACGTGACGTCGGCGCGCCGTCCGCGACCCCGACGTCACGTGACACGTGTCGAAGGGTCAGCACCATTAACGTCTCTGGAAGGCTGGATGGTCGATGCAGCTGGATGATTTAAGAGAACATGTCATGCAGAGCGGTTCTTGTGTACTGTGATTCCTATTGATCTAGTGTAGAGATCTTGGGTTTATTTGCAGATCTTGGGATCTGATGCCTTTGGCGTGCTGACGACGGTCGATTTCACACTTCACACCAGAATCGCTCTTGCCAGAATGGTGCATGCACAACTTCCTGACTCAACAAGCACTCATGTTCTCCTCATATCTACCTAGCGTTTCGGAAGATTTGACACTCTCAAATGAGACTGGGCAATTCACATGATACAACACATCAAAGGCACGATCAAATCCACGCTTTCGGGTGACGAAGTCCTTGTTCCCGGACATCCCTTCCTGCGCCGGCATTCATGTCGTACATGATAGAAGTAACCATGCCACCCAAGTCAGCGGGCGGAACTCCCAGCAACATGCGTGGTGTTTCATGAGCATCAGTCCTGCGATCTTGGTGTCCAAATTCCAAAGAAGGCCGGAGCCTTGCTGTATGCCTCCTGAAACGCTCGGGAAGTGTCCAAGTATCACCCACGCCCCGAAGTCCTCCTGATCTCTCGCCACTCA